CGGCAATGCATAGTTGTGGTCCTAGTGGAAAGAGGGAAGGAAACATTTAATGTGTGTGCATGGCTTTGTAAAAATGGTTGATTGCGTTACCTTTTTGGGAAACAAAATATTTAAATACTTGCAAGATTTTTCTGAGGTTCATCTTTATTACGAGGCTTAGTCAAGTCCAAAGGAAGGCTCTCCTCTGCTTTCTTTGTAGTGGGTTTGGTTCTCTTTCCTTTTTGCTAGGACACAACATAAGAGACACAACCTTAACGTCGAATTATAAAAATTGTCACAAACACACCGCAAAGTCTAAACCATTAGACAGGAAGACAAAGCCTTGGGACCAAACACCAGACAAAAAAGATTTAATTATTCCTACGTAGTCACAGGAGGGACATACTTTTTGAAGAGAAGTCGGGAAATTGAACACAGATGGTATGACATTGGGTCTAAGCCGGACAGTCTGCCCTGTCCGGTCGAAGTCCTCTGGCTTGAAGTGCTCGCTGCAGAGCATCGATCTATTTGTTGCAGCAAAATCTTCCCTCCGCACAGCCCGTTCCCACCGTTTTCTTAGCTTACCGTCTTTGGGAAACCTAGATTGAAACATTTAGCCACACAGGATGATGTTAAAATGTTAATACATGTAATAACACCCAAAGCCCCACACCATTTCTATAAACATGTTTCTTGTGAGGCATTTAATTAAGGAACAAATACAAATACATAACTCCATTTAAAGAAATACTGCCTATACACCAAAATAACATGGATATTTGTCATATCAACTCACCCAAATATAATTCAAGTGATATATCAACACTTCAAAACAAGATTAATATGGATAATTTTTTTTTAAATATAACATGATTAACCCTTCGTTCAGGCTTAATTACTTAGCAATGTGCTTAAAAAGTGACTGGACCCCCTGAATTCATTAATGAAATACAAAATAATACATAACATCATGTATAGACATTGGAGTTACATGCAGGAATATGCATAATGTGTAAACATTGACTTTTATTGTTGTTTAGTTGTTTGATTTGATGTTAAGTGTGGGATATAATTAAGCACTGGTTCTGCCCAGCCCTTTTCCAGTTACATTAATGTTGGTCTATATATAAATGGATTAAGGTTATTAAGAATGTGAACCATCAAAATAAAATATATTTCCTTTAGCAGGAATTACGAAAACAGTATGTTTTCTTTAAAATCATTTAACATTAATGTGCATTATTCTTTCTATATGTATAGAGAACGAGAAACAATTTGCATTGCGACTGATCTAACTAGGGAGTACCAATATGGCGGCCGGTGACTTCACTCAACCCTAAACTACCAATGGGCTATCAGCAATCCAGTGAGATTAGAATAGAGACAAGAATAGAGATCAATTGAGCTACAGCATCAAATCAACAACAACAAAGAGTTATATGTGTATATATTTATATTTATATTATCTTGTTTGTTGCATAGATAGATAGATAGATAGATAGATAGATAGATAGATAGATAGATAGATAGATAGATAGATAGATAGATAGATAGATAGATAGATAGATAGATAGATAGATAGATAGATAGATAGATAGAAAGAAAGAAAATGTTTGTATATCTGGAGCATGTAACAAAAGTAATTTCCCTCTGGGATTATTAAAGTGTGTCTTATTCTGATTTTCAGGGGGGCTTAAGACCAATGGCGTAACGACACAACAATAGGCCTGTAAGCAACATAATCCGGATGGGCCCCATATGAAGTACAACACCCCAATGGTTTCAATCTACCGTCTGGGTTACCCATAATTCCAAGCCGTATTGTAAAAAAAAAATAAATTAAAAAAATACTCAAATACATCGGTTATTAAAGTTATAAACAAAGTAATTAAAAGTACCACTGTCTGCTTTGCCATTGGTGTGTTAAACGGCTAACCATCATGTTGAAATATGCGGTGTGTTTGGGGTATAAATAAGATCTGGTCAGTCAACATTGACTCAGGTGTGTTTAAGAGGAATTTTTCGCACCATTACATCTGCAAAGAGACGTCATAATCCACAGTTGCGTAGGGGGCCAATCAGGTGTCAGTGACTGTGACCCTATAAGCAACTGCAGTTACCAATAGTTACGCCATTGCTTTAGACTCCGTGTGAGTAGGGAGTACCAAGATGGCAGGAGGTGACTTCAGTTATTTCGGCCTATCGGATATCCATGAATACATAGAATAAATAGCACACGTTGCTTTGAGACCGGAAAAACACTAACTGTGTCTATCATAAAAACTTACTTATGAAAGGTGATTCCACGGGCTTTGGTTTGCAGTCTCCTCTTATTTGCGCAGCCGTATGCGGAACAAAAGTCGGGCATCCTGAGAGGCAGTTCCGGGGAAGATTTCTGTCAATACAAATCGAAATTATGTACTAAGTTAGAAACCAATTTATATCAATTAACTGGTCTCATCAAATCACGTTTTCAGGCAGCCAATTTATAAGGACATCGGCTGAGGATTCACCAGATTCTGAGTGTAAAAATAAATCCGATAGCTCGGTCTGACTCAAGATGGCCGCTCTGTCGGCACGCCTCTTTATAATTCTTCGTCTTCTTCAACATTTTTGGCGGTAGGCAACAACAAACAGATACCTTTCCGCCATCTACTGGTATGGAGTGTGAAATTAAATTCTACGATGTTATATAATTGTGTTAACCTTAAATAGCGAAATAATATCCTGTAAATGGTACTTTCTGAATCACACCTAAATGATTCAAATAAATCGACTTGAACTTTTACTTTATTTAAATGTAGAATTAATTTATTCAAAAAACAAAGTGTTCAAAAAATGATAAACTGACTTCAATTCAAGAATTAACATAAAGAACTCAAGCACAAACTGACCTATGAAACAAGGACCTAAGAAACAAGGCATGAGGGAAACCTAAATAGTGGCTGATCAGACCACTGTTGACACACAAGGGGGGATAACTGACTAACAAACTAACAAACAAATAAACTTAATTAAACAGATAAATATTGGACCATGAGTCCGGAATAAAGTTTATCTATCTATCTATCTATCTATCTATCTATCTATCTATCTATCTATCTATCTATCTATCTATCTATCTATCTATCTATCTATCTATCTATCTATCTATCTATCTATCTATCTGTCTGTCTGTCTGTCTGTCTGTCTGTCTGTCTGTCTGTCTGTCTGTCTGTCTGTCTGTCTGTCTGTCTGTCTGTCTGTCTGTCTGTCTATCTATCTATCTATCTATCTATCTATCTATCTATCTATCTATCTATCTATCTATAAATACTGGCCAGACACTAAGTACTTTTTAAATGTAACTAATTAACAAAATTACCAAAACTAAGAATATTCAAACAAATGATAAACAAATTTCACTTCCCATTACAAATGGTGTAATCCAAAGGAAATTGGCAACTCAAAAAAACAGAAAATTAATCAGTTGCATCTTAACAAAAAACAACCTGACAAATAAACTGACCTAAATGTGTGCACAGCAAAAAGCTAACTTAAAGTCAGGCTAATGAAAATATATGAAATGTGCAACTCATTTTAAGAAATGAAAAATATAAAAGTTACCACACAGATTCAGAGTGTGAGAGCAGGCTGTCACGCCATATTTTTTTGTTTAATTAACATTCTAACTTCCAATTTACTAAAATGAATCATTAAATCCACTGTTAAATCTCTAACAGCTTCCTTTGCTGCCCTGCCTACCTGTTCATTTCCTTTAACTCAATAATGAGCTGATATCCATACAAAATGTATCATTAAACCCATCATATTTATTCTATTCACTGTCTGTTGTATTTCTATTAAAATGTCCTGTCTGCATTCTGAATGATTATACTGCAAATTAATTAGGAATGAACTAGAATCTAAACATATGACTGATCTTAATGGCCTAACCTCTTCAACCCATTGAATAGCTAATAATATTGCAATCATCTCTCCTCTGTAAACTGAAAGTCCATAACATTTTTTTCCAAAATTAAACATTAATTTCTGGTACTAGAAAAGCTACTCCTATTTTATTTAATATATTTTTAAAGAATCTGTATAAATCTTAACATAACTATCATATTTAATTATTTATATTTACATGGATTTAGAATGAATTTCTTATCTTTTCTCCCTTTCAGCAAACTGAAATCCACATTGACTTCTGGAATAATCCAAGACTGCATTATTGATAATGGATACTAATCTGATCTCCTTTGAATCCTTTTATTTCATACACAATCCAACCAAAACTTCTAATGTTTTTTATTACCTTTTCCCAACAGGGTTTTATGGCTTGATGAGTTGGATGACCCTGTCTATATGACCTTTTATATTAGCCCAATAATTTAATGTTAATTGCTCCCTTCTAAATGCATGAGGCATTTCTCCCATTTCTACTAATGTTGCTGTTGGAATAGTTTTAATTACCCCTGTATATAACTTCAATGCTTGGTACTGAATATGATCCATTTTCTGTACATTTGTCTCTGCTGCTGAGTTATAAAGAATGCTTCCATAATCTATCTATAATTAGTCCTATATATATATATATATATATATATATATATATATATATATATATATATATATATATATATATATATATATATATATATATATATATATATATATATATATATATATATATATATATATATATATATATATATATATAATTTTTTTGTTTTGTTTTGTTTTTTTTTGTCATATAATATTAAAAAAAGTTTGACTAAAGTTTCTGCAAAAATGATAATGAGATAAAATAATTTTTAATTGCTACGGAAAAATGCAATATCTGACTGATCATCATCAATATTTGATACAGCATCTTGAAGTGACTCGTTTATTTGAAAGCATTATGAGATTTTTTTTTTTTTTTTCTTGTCTCAGTTCACACTCTCTACCTGTAAGTGGCGGTAATACGCTCCTAGCCAACCGCCAATAAATACTACATGAGGGATCAGTAGAAGAAGAACGCGGACGTATTTGATTGGGTAGTCGCTGTTGCTATGACATCGCTTTAAGAGACGCCTCAGAGTGAAGCATTGTGGCCAACATACAGCGAATTTATGAATATGATGGTATAAAGAAGACTAAAGCGAACGAATTTCATCAACATGAAGGTCGGTACTGGAAAATAAGCCTTTTTCTTGTGTGTGTGTTTATTTATTTATTTATTAATTTTGTTTCGTGTTGTGTTAAAAACAGTAGCTAGCTACTCAGGCAGCTTCAAGCTATTTTGTTAGCTCAAGGAACCGTTTATTTCCGTTAAAAGTTAAAAAAACAATCCTCTGAACCACTCGATTGTTTTTAAAAACTTTAACGGAATGATTACGACCTGGATGACTGAGAATCTTCACCAGCAAGGAACCGTTTCGTTTCTGCTAAAAAAAGGCTTATAAGGCTGAGATGACCTGCATATTCTCAGACTGAAGAAGTTTCTCCATCCATCCATCCATCCATCCATCCATCCATCCATCCCTCCCTCCCTCATTGTTGTTGGTCACTGAAAAATTAGCTGTTTTTGCTCTATAGATTAAATGTAGCAAAACTGAAAACGATCTTATCATTTTCTGTCTTTAAACACATTAACCAGCACAATGTATTTTCATGCATTTTAAATTTGAGGAATATTTGACCTCAGCTGAACTGCATAGCAGATTCTTTCTTTTGAGGATTTATAATTAACAGAAAATATATATATAAGGAATTGATTTGAATATCGTTCCTCTGTAGGGTGGCTAGACTAATCTTTAGAGATAAGATGAACAGTTCAGTTATCTGGGGCTCAAAGTAGGGCCACTGCTGTCAGCATCAAAATGAATCATTCGAGCTGATTAGTAGATTCAATTCAGTTTATTTACATATATATATATATATATAGCGCCAATTCACAAAACATGTCATCTCAAGGCACTTTACAGTTCACCAGATCATACAGTCAAATTGATTCAAAGTTTCTATCTAAGGAAAACCACTTGATTGCATCGACTAATTGACTCTGATGCAAACCGTCACACTAAGCATGCTTGTAGCAATAGTGGAGATGAAAAACTCCCTTTTAACAAGAAGAAACCTCCAGCAGAACCAGGCTCAGTGTGAGCGGCCATCTGCTGAGGCTGACTGGGGTTCAAGAACACAGAAGCAGAGATACAAAAAGCAACTGTAAAACGTGTCCCCGTCCAGGAAACACACAGCCAGGCAGACCAGCTCTAAGCCAGATCTGATCAGGACCCCTGGGAATCTGCCTTTGGAGAATTTTCCAAGCAGGTCCCACTGAAAGGAGACCTTAGTGAAGACCCTGAACTCATTGGAGGGACTATATTAACATTGATTAACAATAGGACATCACCATGGTAGAGCGGACATATGGGATCAGATCCCACCTGGATCTGTTACCCTCGCAACCTGATCTCGAACATGCAGAGAATTTTGAATGGATGATTTCTGCCGTGATAAGTCCGTTTGATTGTTCTCCAACAAAAAAGAGATCTTTCTCCACCATAAGGTCTTCAAAAAATGCTCATGCTATAAATGCTCATTGTAGATTTGTAGAGGTCAATATTCAGGTGTTTATGAAATGATTCTAAAAGGAGAAAATCTTTGCATCCACAGAGTGTTTTCGTTCTTGCTGACCGTGCTTGGGCAGGTTCTTGTGTTCTTTACAAGTGGCAGAAAAGTCTTGGTAATTACATTGCTGTTGCTGGGTGGGTAAAATTACCTGTGATGATCCACTTCCTCTAGCACAGCATCAGAACAAAAATAAATCAGATTTTGTTTTTTATTAATGATATAGACAGGACACCTCCGTGAAAATATTTGATCGACATGGACAGAAGTGGACTGAACTCAACCTTCCTGGGTAAGTTTAAAAAACATTACAGGCCCCATTGTAATCTCATTTACCTTTTTAAACATTTGTTCAGTTTTTAACTTCCTGTTTCTGTTCTGCTCCCCGGTAGGCGCTGCATGGGCATGGACTGGGATAAGGATGGGGACATTTTGGCAGTGATTGCTGCAAAGTCCAGCTCCATCTTCCTCTGGGATGCCAGCGTCAATAAAACATCACAGATAGACAGCGGCATGAGGTGTGACATAGAGTGGGAAGAACCCTAATTCTAAATTCATTTAAAATAGAAAGTCTATCTTAATCTAATGGAGGGGGGTTTGTCTTTTTTTTTTGTCTTGTATGATTTAGCAAAGATCATATGAGTTTCATCCTGTGGTCAAAAACTAGCCCCCTGTTGGCTGTAGGGACAGCAAAAGGAAATCTGCTCATCTATAATCAACAGACTTCACGCAAGATACCCATAATAGGTAAAATTTACACACCACAACACTCATCATTTAATCACCCTTTTGGCTGTTTCTGCTTATCTTTTTCTCTGCTTGCTGCTGAAGGTAAACACACCAAGAGAATCACCTGTGGGTGCTGGAGTTCTCAGAACCTGCTGGCTCTGGGAAGTGAAGACAACACTCTAACCATCAGCAATCACGAGGGAGACACGATCAGACAGGTAGTCAGGCTGACAGTCTGGTGTCTTATTATTACTGCTAAGGGACAACACAGAGGTTTTATGAAGGCAGTCTGCTATTATTTAAGGTTGAAGAGATAAAAGCATCTTGGTGATCTTCCTGATCTTTTGACAGGCTTCGCTTCGGGGTGAGCCTGGTGAAATATTTTTCTCTGTGATGAAAATGGATGAAAGGTCCTCACAGGGGGAGAGTACTGTAAGTTATTTTCTGCATCTTCACTTTCTTACTTCTTTCCCTAATTCACACTTAGTTAAGTTTCTTTTTATTAAACTTTTTCTGGTTCAGGTGGAAAGGGAAATTAATCTTTTCTTCAGTTTGTATGTTTTTTTTTTTACAGCTTGGTTAATCTTTCTCATGGCCCTTATGGTGCAGATTTGTCTTTTTCTTAGGGAGCTCTGATGCTTTTCATAAAAAAAAATTGGTTGGTTTTTTCAGAATATTTTTTTAATTTAAGTCTAATATAAAAACAAAGCAGTTCTCAGTCAGGTGAAAGATAAATATTCAAAGTAAGAAAGATTTAAAATCTGTCCTTCCAAAGCTTTTGATCACAATTGAATAAACCTAGAATATTCAGTCTCAACCCTGCCCTAGTAAAGATGTGTTTCAACCCTTACTAAATATTTTATTTTGATTACACAATCTCATCCTCAAAATGTTCAGTACTTTGTTGCATCCTTAATATTGTTTAATCTTTTATAAACATTGTGCTCTTAGGTAAGTATGTCTGTGGACAAGAAGATACTGACGCTTTTTAATCTCAATGACCCCCAAAACCCAATCGAGCTGGCCTTTGAGCGTCACTACGGAAACCTTGTGTCCCATCGCTGGTACTGTTCTCCATTCACCCTCTTCTTAGCTTTGGTTAAACCTCAAGGAAAAGGTTTCGATGCTAAAATTCACTATTTGATGTTTGACTGTGCAGGTTTGGTGATGGATACATACTGATTGGCTTTTCCCACGGATACTTCCTGGTTATTTCCACACACATCAATGAGATCAGATCTGAGCTCTATCAGGCCCGAAACCATAAAGATAGTCTATACAGCGTGGCCGTTTCAGCTTCACTAAACAAAGCTGCCTCCTGTGGGGACAACTGGTAGGATTACATTTTATACCTACCCATATTGATGAATAAATTAACAGAGAAATGAAATAGTTCTTCCTTTGCAGCATAAAGATACATGAGCTGTCTGACTTGAAAGATATCAGCAGTGTTGTTCAGTTGGATGATGAAACCAAAGGTGACCCAGCTTTTTTTTTCCATCTTTGAAATCTTTGAAGAAGCTGTTGAACACATGACCAGATGTCCTTCATTTTCTGCAGGTCTGGATCAGCTGAGCTGGACTGATGATGGCCAGCTTCTGGCACTTTCCACACAGAGAGGGACGATTCACGTCTTCTTGACCAAGCTTCCAATGTTGGGGGACCGTTTTGGTACCCGGCTGGCCTACCTCACTTCCCTACTGGAAGTCACTGTCTCCAACCAGGCGGAGGGGGTGAGAACACATTCATCCACTCAAACATCTTTCATGTAAAACGGAAAGCTCCCAACACTCTTCCTATTCCTAAACTGGGTTACAGGAGAATCCCGTGGCCATTCAGGTGGAGGTAGAGCCTACATTCATTGCTGTAGGGCCGTACCACGTGGCTGTGGGCATGAACAACAGAGCCTGGTTTTACGGTAAAATCCGTTCATAACACTTTCTCACTCTAAATTTTTGCTTTAAACCTGCCTTAATTTCTTTTTTTTATTACTTAGGTTTGCCAAAGATAAAGGACATTGAATATCTGGGGACCATAGCCAGTATGTGCCTTAACGCTGACTACGCCGCAGCTCTGTTTGAAGGCAAAGTGCAGCTACACATGGTGAGGCTTCTCCTATTTGAACTGTGGTTCTAATATCACTCAGCAAAGCTGCAGCATCAGCAAGTCCCATGTCTGTTTTAGATTGAAGGCAGAGATGCAGAGGACAGGCAGCAGATGAAGCTCTTCCCAGATGATAACAAGAAAGGCCGGATCCTTTGCCACGCCCTTACTCCGGACTTTCTTTATTATGGCACTGATGTAAGGATCACCTGCTTCTTACCCTAGTTTACTAAGCCTATCAAAAAGGCTGTAATTGCTGCTATAAAAGTTATTCAAATCTCTTTATGAGGACATGTCACCATGGTTCTAGTGGCATTTTGCATTTTCTTTCACTAAAATCCCAAACGTATTGTATTGCAATGTATTTTACTGATACTTTTATGCAAAAGACCAGCACAAAGAAGTACATATTTGGAAATCAGAATATAAAAATGTTGAGCTTTTTTTTTGGTATATTTCTAGTAGCCTTTTATATCTAGAGATTGAATTTTTGTCCAATACTGCATTCCTTTTTGATGATTTTGCATGAAAGATGATCATCTGTGGACAGTCGTTTTCATAGGATGAAATTGCCTCATTGACTATATATATTTTTTCATTCCAGGAGAAAACTTTCCAGCTGACTGTTTTACTTTTTTTGTGCATCTTGCATGACTTGTTGCAAACCTCAAACAGATGTTTTACGTGACTGTCTGCACACACCTTTAAAGGGCAGAAGAGTTCAAAGCAAAACAAACAGTTTTCGAGCCAAATTAATCTCCATCCTTAGCTGTGGATCCCTGCACATCCTTAGAGTTATTATACTGGTCATTACGACTTATTTGATTGATGCTCTTCCTTTCCAACCTGTAAGGATCTGAGCAGCGGAGCCATACTTTTTTGTTTTCATATAATTGATTAAACAGTGCTTAGTGAGATGTTAAAGGCTTGGAAGATTCTTTTAAAATCTTATCCTGCTTAAAACGCCTCCACATAATTATTTCTGACCTTTTATCTTTTCCTCTGTGCTTATGTTTCAATTTGTTAACAAATTTTCTTTAAAAATACTGTTTAAAATCTGATGCCCCTGAACACATAGATCCCTGGTGGACTTCATAACACCAGTAACCCTGCATCACCCCATTACTCTTCTGTGAAACATGTGAAAAACCAAAGTGGATTTGAAGATGGGTTAACTTCAGAAGACTTGATCTGAGTTAGAGGTTTGCCTTCTTGCAGAACCATACATTGTGCATCAAAGCATGTTCATGCATTATGACATCCCAGTCTGATTTTATACCAATAAGATATACACACTGATGTTCATAGATGCGAATCATCCAATCTAACTTGGCTTAAATCAGAAGAGAAATAGCTCTAACACAATGGTTTAGATCAACAAAAATAGTCATAGTTTAGAGCTACATATCCAACATTTTCAGCAATTATCAAATTAAATGCTTAGTAGAAACAAGCATCACTGTCCTTTCACTTAATGATTATATGCTTCTTTGTTTTGGTCCATCACATAAAAGCGCATTAAAATATGCTTAAGCTTGTTACTGTAATGTGACAAAATCTAAAAATGTTCAAGGTATAGATATAGCCCCATAATGCACTGGATGAAGGATTTAGTTTTATATATACATATGCATCTACATGTAGTCATGCTTACCTGTTTTTCCTCAGCTGGGTAATGTGGAGTGTGTTCTGCTGGAGGAGATGGAGACTCTGAAATGCTACAGCCATTCAGTCGGTGTAAGGAAGGTGTTCCCTGACCCAAACGGGACGTGGTTGGTGTTCATCGATGACAAGAATGGAGGCTTCTTGTTCTCCCCTGCAAATGTAAGTATGTTATACTGTCTCACACTTTTCCGAATTGAATATGCAGTTGCACAGTTTCAGCCATATGCCACTCTGTCATAGATAATTAATATTTAGTCATGAAATCTTTTACAGAAAAGTATTATTATTAAAACACACTTCAGGGTAATTACTTTCTCCTTTTTTTGGTATGTGTTAATTACAGATTATTATTTGGTTTGAAAACAACAACAGATCCAAAATTAGTTAAATGAAATGTCTAAAAATTGATTGTGGTGTTTTGAGTTTTGTAAAAGGATAAAAATCATAGAACAAACTACAAAAACAGACTAAAGTACCAATCAGGTTCTAGATCTGGGTGTAATGATGGACTCAGGCATAAAAACCGTATCAAAGGTGGCCTTCTATCAGCTAAAGAGGTTTTCTAAGATTAAATGACTAATGTTTTAGCAGGATTAAAAAAAACAAATCAATTCATTTATTTTGAGTCCAACTGATTATACTGCTTACATCCTCACTAAATCTAAGAAAGTGAAGCACATCACCCCAGTGCTAGAATCTTTACACTGGCTCCACATCTCTCAGAGGATAGACTTTAAAATACTTCTGTTCATCTAACAGTATAACGCTTATAACCAAACTACATTACAGACTTGCTGTAAGTGGAACTACCCTTTTGGTGAACCAAATGCAAACATTAAGAATCAGCTTTTAGTGCAGCGCCACTAATCTGGGACAAATTCCCAGAAAACTGTAATAGTGCTAAATCTCTTAAATCAAGGTTAAAACACTTTTGTTTAGTTTCCATTTAAACTGTTAACTAATACATAATTAATTTGTTGTTCAACTTTTCTTTAGCTTTTATTTTGCCAATGCAATCTCTTCTTCTGTTATTTTTTTTATTTTCCCATGTTCTATTAATCTAGATTACTTTAAATTGTCTCGTTATTGACATGAGTTACACAAATCAATGCACTGCCTTCATGTATCCTTTCCAGACAGCTGTATCCTGCTTCGAGCTCCCTGACTTTTCCCCCACCATCACAGGGGTGCTGTGGGACAACTGGCATGCAGACAGAGGTGTATTTGTTGCTTTTGATGACGACAAGGTTTATACCTACACCTTGCATAAAATGACTATATATGGTAAGTAGATGTCCACATCCGGATCACACAGGTGAGCAGAAATGATCAGATGTTTTTGTAACTTCCCTATTATTTGTGCTCAGGTCCCCAGGTGGTGTTAGTGGATACCACCGCTTTGCTCTACTCTCAAAGACCTCTTCTCTTGTACAACGGTAAGCTGACCTGTCAGACGACAAGCGGGAAGACAAGCGAAGTAGTCCTGAGCACACACTCATTTCTCAAAAGCGCACACGATACACCGAAAACCTCCCCTTCAGAGTTTAGTAATCAGCTCGCTCAAGCTCTCAAAGTCAAAAGGTCAGTCAGTCTGTCGATGGAGCAGATCTCCTGCTTTTCAGAATAACAGAATAACTGAGGTTTGCTTCCAGGTTCCACGAGGCTTGGAGTTTATGCGAGTCTGGAGGCAGTGAAGCCGACTGGGCGGAGTTAGGCAAAACCTGTTTGATCCACATGGAAGTGGAGCTGGCCATTCACATCTACCGTATGAGTGGCAATGTGGGCATGGTCATGTCATTACAGAGCATACAGGTTATTAGTCTGACACACTCCTCATATCAGATGATTCCTCTCTCAGACCTAACAAAACTCTTATAAATTTGACTCTTTTTAGGGCATAGAAGAAAGAAATTTACTAGCAGGGTATTTGGCCATGTTCTTGGATGAATATAACCTGGCCCAGGACCTTTTTCTCTCTTCAAGCCGACCAGCAGCTGCTCTGGAGGTGTGTTTTCAGTAATGTCTAAGACTGTAGAAAAAAAAAAAATCTGTGCAATAGATGTGTGATAGAAAGAGTAAAGAAGACCTAATGATGTAGGGTTTGTGTCTAAGATGAGAAGAGACCTGCTGCACTGGGACAGTGCTCTTATGTTGGCCAATAGGCTTGCAGAAGACCAGATCCCCTTCATATCCAAAGAATACGCAATCCATCTGGAGTTCATGTGGGTGCAGACACACACATATACACACACACTGTGTGCACCATTTAGAGTTCTGTCCTAACTGTTTTTTATCTGTCTTTCCAGAGGAAATTATATTAATGCTTTGACACACTATGAAAAAGGAGTGACAAACAATAAGGAAGTAAGTTAAATCACAAATTTTGGCCGTTAAGGCTAATATATTACTAAAGGAGTGAGAATATTAAATTTAATTATTCTTTTTCGAATAAAATCAGGGTAAACTGTATTATTGTGATTTTGCTTTTTAAGAATGTTTTCTATACTGTGAGGAAAAGAGGGATGTAGAGAGTTCTAGTGCTATCTTTCATTTTTTCAGCTTCAAAAGGATCCTAACTTAGTTTTACATTAAAATGATGGCATAATGAATTCAAAAGTTAATCAATTAACAGAAATCTTTTTTTTTCTCCAAAATGTGGTAAACAAGAGCATCAAAAACCATTTAATTTGTGGAAATTTGGACACAAAATGACAAATTCTACAACATGAGTGATTGTTAAAGCAACCCTGTGTAACTTTTAACACCACTATTAACTTAAATTCAGATATATTACCTGATCAGACATATTTTTTTTGGTTCTGTGGTGTAGGATTTAATCTAGAGGGGTGAATTTGGATTATTTTTTTAACAAGTAACTTAATGACTTTGCAGTCTGCTGGTCCAAATTTGTCTGTTTTTAGAGTAAACATAAGACAAAGGGAGACTGTTTGATTTTGACAGTGCAGCACTGTTAGTTACTTTTAAGGTGCACTAGGGCTGGAAGTTACATGTCTAGCGCCCCTGATGGCAAAAAGTTGCACAGTGTTGCTTGAAGCAGATTATATTACAAAGCAGATTTCCTGCACAAAGTTTAATGGCAGGGCCAATATACAGGAAATGATTATGTTAATAAAAGCTTATCCAAGTCTGAGACATGGGTTGAGACAAACAACTGTTCATTGCTCTGTTCTCCCTTTCCCGATCCAGTTCCAGGAGCATGATGAGGCATGCCAGGCTGGCATAGCCAGGATGTCCATCAGGACGGGTGACATACGAAGAGGAACAGCTCTGGCGATTCAGCACCCAAACAGGGTCCTTAAGAAGGAATGTGGAGCAATACTGGAGAGCATGAAGGTGGAAACATGTTAATCCCAAAGGCTAGATAAAAATGAAAATTTAAATTGATGAGCTGATTTGCTTTTGTGAATTGAAAGATTTTTTTATTACATAACTGCGCATGAACAAAAGTGTCAAAATATGGAGGAAACTGCCTTTTAAAGATTCTAAACTGATTAGTGTTGGGGTTTTTTGGTTAATAACTTGTTCCCTCATAAGACATTTCCTCTGGGATCTTGTTTTAATCCTCGTGTGTTTCTGATAAATGGTTTTCCATGCAATGAAATTTGTTTCATCTTATTGTTATTCATAAACTCCTTACTCACTAAACACATTTTTAAGGCTGTCTTAGGTCTATACCTAACTATCCTGTTTTTGTTTTTAATGCCATTGCAGCAATTCTCTGAAGCTGCTCAGCTGTATGAAAAGGGGCTGTATTATGATAAGGCTGCGTCGGTGTACATTCGCTGCAAGAACTGGTGAGCTAAACCTCCAGGCCTCAGCATTGTTTTGTCTTCTCACTTTAATTTAACCTTTTCCTTCTCTGTCGTCAGGGCGAAGGTGGGAGAGCTGCTCCCAAATGTCTCCTCTCCAAAGATCCATTTCCAGTACGCCAAGGCCAAGGAGGCGGACGGCAAGTGGGTTCTTGGTTTCTGTAATTTACTCTTTGGATTATCCTGAGATTAAAAATAATCTGATGCAATAAGTACTCTGTGCATCAGATATAAAGAGGCAGCTCAGGCCTATGAGAATGGAAAGGACTGGGATAACATGATCCGTGTGCTGCTGGACCACCTTAACAATCCAGAGGATGCAGTTCGTGTTGTCAGGGAGACTCAGAGCATCGACGGAGCAAAAATGGTTGCCAGGTAGGACTGATAAATGTATGAATGCACAAGCAAGTCCTGTTCCCCGATTTATTGAATAATATCTTTGTATGTCCTTCATCATGGCTTTCTTTTAATGAATCTGAGGGGATGTGGCAGCGTTTTAACAATAAATGTTCTATAGCAGCAGCATCTTCAGAGAAGAAGCTAAACATTAGTACCTCTATTACTGCTGCCTGAACTTTACCTCCATATCCCCTCATGTTTTTGTTTAACTTGTCTCCTAAACTAAGTCTTGAATTTCATAATTACCTTTTTGTCACGTTTGTTGGGTCGTAGGTTCTTCCTGCGCCTGAAGGACTATCGGTCAGCCATCCACTTCCTGGTTCTGTCTAATTGTAATGACGAAGCTTTCCAGCTGGCTCAGCAGCACGGACAGATGGAGGTCTATGCAGACATCATTGGTCAGTTACTCTGGAAACCATCCATATGTTTAAGCTTTCCTGTAGTTTGCTTCCCTGCTGTTTGCGGTCGTGTTTTATTTCAATTAAGTCTTACATTATCAGGTTGTGAAGCAACACAAGAGGACTATCAGAGCATTGCTCTGTACTTTGAGGAAGAAAGAAAGCACTTTCTGGCTGGCCAGTTTTTTTACAAATGTGGGCAGTACAGCAAAGTAAGAAGGCTTTGATTTGTTTGTTCACCGATTGGTCACTTTATAACCTGTAACCTTCATACAGGCTCACATTGTTGTTCTTTTCTCAGGCTTTAAATCATTTCTTAAAGTGTCCCAAAACCGAAGACAACCAGCCAATTGAGCTGGCCATCAGGACGGTGAGAGCCACTCGTTCCAAATAATTTTATGTGTGTTTGAAAAGCAAAATGGACATCCCTCTGAGAGTTTGTTTCTAAATCAGGTGGGAGAAGCCAAGGACAACACTTTGACCAAACAGCTGATTGAGTATCTCCTAGGAGCAAGTGACGGGATGGCCATGGTAATTAATACTGGCCTGGAATGTGTGATTGAATGGGTGTTATTATGTACGGTAATATACAAGAACCTATTTGTTTTCATTCATGTTGTTTTCTCTGATGCTTGAGAAGTCAAAGTTTCTCCTACATGTTTGGGAAAGCAGAGCAGCTATCTGTGTTAATTTTCTCAGTAGATGTCTTTGTAATGTTCTAAATGCAGCTCTTATTTTCTCTTTTTGTGAACGCTTTTTGTGTCACTACTTCCATTTTTCTGTCTTGCTGCTTTTCGTTGTTTTTTTTTTTTGTTCTACACAGATGTGTGATTTTACATCCTAAATGTTTCCAATGTCCCTGCTCACTGGCAAATAACTAGTTGTCTTAAAAAATCTGAAGATTAGATGAAACACTTCTAAGAATATATCAACAATATATATATATATTTTTTAAAGTATAACCACATTTTCACAATTGTTTGACCACAGTATCGTTTCTCAGTCAGTATTGCTAACCTTTTACTGATTGCTAAGTAGCAGACTAATTAGACCCATTCATTAAGGGGTTTCAGATTTTCCTCCTTATTTAAACTTGATGGCTTTGTTTAGACATTTTTGGGATCCCTTAACATGTTTTTTCACAATACTTTGTGAGAACTTGGGCCCAGCAGTATTGCTCTGACTCTGGATTAAAGCCCACCTTCCTCATGTTCTCGTTGACCTGTTCGGCTCGTCTATCCACACATTCTTTCTTTTGACCGTTGTTATTTTTCAAGCTGCTTTCTTATCTGTCCTTTCCTAATAATGGCATTCATTTTGTGAAGTTTAACGGTCCTTCCTTTAGTGAAACATTCACAAAACACGATCCTGCCGAGAAGGGTTATTCTTAGGCTTGCTACTTTCTTCTCCAAATAACTAAAGTGTTAAGGGCCCAAAACCTTATTGTATTTAGTCACACAACAAGGCATGTATGCATAAAATGTATGTTTATGTTCCCGATTCCATCAGCAATAATAATGCATTTTAGTGGCCTTTAAGCCAGTTTCTTTCACAGGTAATGAGACTCTTTGGTCAGCTTTAGCAATAATCTTTAAGAGTTTTCTGTTTTGCTTCTGTTATTTGGTTGATACGCAAATTTTACAGAAAAATTCCTTCAGAGCACAATTTATTAATAAGCTTCATCAGAATTTGTCACCTCTTCCCAGGAGGCAAAGTACCTTTTCCGCCTCTACATGGCCCTGCAGCGATACAGCGAGGCTGCTCACACTGCCATTGTCATCGCCAGAGAGGAGCAGTTCGCAGGTAAACCAGTAAAACAGCCTCTAGCAATATCACAGGGTTCCCAATATTCATTGGGGTAAGATTATGTTCATATGGTATGTTTTCTTTTTTTGTTTTCAAAACCCTCAGGTAACTACAGAAACGCCCATGATGTGCTGTTCAGCATGCACAGAGACCTGCAGTCTCAGAAGATTAAGATCTCCACGGACATGGCGACCAATCTGATGATCCTCCACTCGTATCTACTGGTGAAGGTGAAGACCACTGGCGATGGCTGTTCTCATGTTGAAGAACAGAACAGAATATCCATGCTTTGTTCCAGAGTCATTCAGTCTGCTGTTACAGGGGATGTTTACTCCCATCTCCTCTTTCTCTTTTCCCTGCAGATGCACGTAAAGAAAGGGGATCACCTCAAAGGGGCGCGGATGCTCATTCGGGTTAGCAACAACATCAGCAAATTTCCTGCACGTGAGTTCATACACACAAACATCTGCTTGGACATCATGGTTTGATTGCTGGACCTTTATAACATTAGCCAGTGTGTGTGTGTGTGTGTGTGTGTGTGTGTATGCATGGGTGTAGATGTCGTCCCCATTCTGACATCAGCAGTTATTGAATGCCAACGCGCCGGTCTGAAGAAGTCGGCCTTTGACTTTGCAACCATGTTGATGAGGCCGGAGTACCGAAACCAGATTGACCTAAAGTACAGGAAGAAGATTGAGGCTTTGGTTCGGTGAGTGATAAGCTGCTGTTAGAAATGTCTTTACTTTTGCTAGATTTTTCTTCTTTTGTTACTATGGTTTAAACCTATTTATCTTCTATCCTGGTGCTTCCTGCTTACAGCCATCCTAACACCTCCGAGTTAGAGGAGGAAACTAAGCCCTGTCCTTACTGTGGCTTCCAGCTGCCAGAGAATGACCTGATGTGCATCTCCTGCAAGAACAACATCCCCTACTGCATTGCCACGGTACTGAAAATGAAACCGCTCACCTGCATGTTCTTTTAACTAAGACATCTCCACCTATTGTATTTCAATTGTTTAAATCAGGGTCGTCACATGCTGAAAGAAGACTGGTCCATGTGTCCTCACTGTGAATTCCCTGCTCTCTACTCTGAGTTCATTTTGTAAGTAACACATCTGTTAAACCTATACTTTAGTAATTAGCATTCAGTCTCTGCTGCTAGGAACTGGCTTCAGTATCTCATTTTAGGTGTACCCCCTCTATCAAAGTGTAGTTATGGCTTTTTCGCTGTGCCGCACATTGAGATCAACATCAGCATAGCCTAGAAGCTGCTAGTTACCTAACTTTATCCATTAAATTATATGCCATAAGGAGACTTATCAGATTGTTGTTGTAAAGGAAGATCTTCTAATTTTTATTGCTTATAATGCAGCCATGCTGGTCATAAGTTCACATACACTCTTAATTTAGGATAAAGACAGATTGATTTAAAAATACCCCCCTCTTGCAAGTTGGATGAGTGTCCTTAGGTTCTAAATCTCTGACTCCTCCATTCATTGCTGCCTTAATCTTAGCCTCGTCTCAACATAAAACCTTTCTCCAGAGAACATTTGGCTTGTGTGTGTGTAAATCTGCAAATGTCACAAGAGGTTAAAGGTGTAGATCTTGGAGCAGAAGCTTCTGATCTTAGTCTGGGATCAGGGTAAATTTATTTCCCTGTGGGCAGTGACCTGCCTCAGTGCTTTATGGGTAATTCTGAGACATCTTAAGCTATTTCTATTCATTGGAAGTGAGTTTTAACGATCTGAAAACAATTTGCTGCTCAGTGACCCCCCCAACACACTTCTAGAAGATTTAAGACGATGATCTTCTAGAAAAGCCGAGACCTGAAACCTGTGAATTCATAAAGCTTGTTTTCTTTCCAATTTCTGATCAGAAAATTTCATTACAGACAAAAAGTGTGCTGCCATTTTCTTCCACAACTAACTTAATATTAGTGAGGATGAATATGAAAGCTTAGGTAATATGTAAATGTATTTATATATACGGTATTTACCTTTTCTATATTTGGTCACACCTTTTTTCAAAAATAAATGTTTTTTTAATTTGAAACTCTACATAGAAGTGAGGCCATGACAATAAAAAAAAAAGCAAATGTAGATCAGAAAAACATAGAATAGTGCATTATTATTTATAACTCTTTAAATCTGGGGTCTCGTCGTTTCACTTCAGGATGACCACAGAGTTCTGAACACTCAAGATTTCTTGACTGTGTGCTTTAGTTAATCACCCCAGTCTGAGATCAGGAGTGTTCTGGAGCAGCTTTTCATCTCTTTACATTGCTGCATTCATTTTTCCCTCTATTCTGACTAAACTGCATCTTAAAAGAATCCCCAAAGCATGATGCTGCCACCACTGTGTCTCACTATAGGGATAGTATTGTCCTGGTGATGAGCAGTGCCTGGTTTTCTTTAAACATGATGCTTCACGGTTGCTGTTTGGAGAAAAATTCTCACCTGTTTGCACATATTTAAAATGTAACATTGGTCATTAGCATGTGTTATAAAGTCTGGAGGGAGAAGGTGAATTTAATTATAGAAAACTGTAGATCAGATGTGGAAAAATATAAAAAAAAATTGTAAATCTTTTCGTGCTGCACTGTTATAATGATATTCATTATCTTTCCATTTTCATTTAAGTTTTAATCCAACATTCATGCTAATGATTACATTTAAACGTCCCATATCCACCATAGATCAGACACTTTACTTTATTCCAATTTTATCTTGAAGAGGCTTTTGATCATCTTTAATGTGGACCTTTGCTGCAGGCTGCTGGAGACGGAGTCTGTGTGTCCCATGTGCTCTGAGAATCTGAGTGCCACACAGGTGAAGAAGATCACCGATTGTTCCAGATACCTGCAAAATCAGGACCTGGATCAATGACCACCAACCCACGGGACCATTTTATAAAGTCTGATATTGGCTGATATTTGTTTTTAAAAAATTATTAAATGTTACTGTTCACATTTGTATTCAGCCATTGTGTTCTACACCCTTTAAACTGTACATGTCCCTTTGACAGAGTATTTCTTTAACAAATAAGCATGCAGGTCATCAGCAGAATATAGGATACTATCTTTATTTACAGTGGCTCTGGACATAGTGGACTGTCATAGCTGAAATGCCTCCGCCTTGGTACAGAGACCCAGTGGGGCGGTGGACCACAGTGGTTGTCCCAGTTAAAGTAAGGAGAACGGAGAGCGCTCCAGCTAGTGAGGGGTTAAACTTCTTGGCCCCTCTAAGAAAGATTCTCCAAGAGATTTTGGAGGCTCCAACCTTGAATTCTGGAGGAGCATCCTTACTTTCATCCTGGCAGACTAAAGTAGAGTAAAAGGGAATATTCTTGAAATAATTGTACTTGCATTAGATGTGAGTAGGTAAGTAAAATAATTGATGGATTTTGCACTAAAAATAACGTATCGTGTTTTTAGATCAACGTTTGCTATGTAGATCTTTACCTTTATGGACTAAATAGGGTCATAGGCACTTGCTCTGTCTCACTTATGTTTTGTGGATCCAGCACAAAGTCAAGCCTGCTCCCAGTGCAGTTTGGACAGCATCATTTCACTGATCACATTCATTGTGTTCAGGAACAGAACCTCAAGGTGTTGAGGGTTATCCAGCTCTAAGTCTGAGGCCATGTTGCCTGACCAGAGAAGGGTTGTCTACCTCCTCTTGGATTGGGGTTAATCTCAAGAAGAGGAGTTTAGGATTCTAGTGGTTCAAAAGTGACAGTAGAATGGAAGAGACTTGGAAGGACTACAATTAGCCTAGTTTTTCTGGAGATTGCCACTGAGGAAAGTTGTGTCTAATGTTTTCCTCCACAAACATTTAATAAACAAAGCATACAGTGAGAAGCAGAGACATGTTAAAGCTGAACCCCAGGCCACCTTAGAGTCTAGTTTGGCCCCTCCCCTGACGCTTATTCCCATGATGCTGTTCTTGCACTGTCCCCTCTGCTCCATGCCTCAGAGGAGCAGATGCAGCCAGGCTCAGCTAGTCCAGGATCACAGCCTGTCTGCTGCTTAGGATCCTGTAGGAGTAGCAAGCATTAAACACCCCATCTTTCCATGTTTGGTGTTCCCCCTGGATGGCTTCTTAAAAGCTTCCTTTGACAAACCCATAAGGAAAATAGGTTTGTGGCAAACTCAACCAATGGTTGACGTTTTAACAGTTTCTCCCATCCGACCTGTCTACCTCTGCAGCACCTTTATTTCTGACAGCCGTTTGGATTTTAGTCCTTTCTTTTCTGTTAAAATGTAATTAAGCTGTAGTCACTGTTTACTCATAAGTTGCCATTTTAGCTTTGAACTAGTAGAGGAATGCATTTTAAGGGGCTTCCGTTCTGACTGTACTGAACTGGTCCACGAGTTCATTACATCTCTACTGGAAACACTTTCTCCCTCATCAAAAATATACTTTTATTCTAACAAAATGTTTAATCATTTGATCCTAGTTTGTGACAAGTTTTGCATTTATTTATCATTAACGGAGCAAAGAAATGGTTGCTGATGAAAGGTAAGATAAACGTTTCTGTCCTTAAAATCAAAGGTGCAGTGCAGCTCCTCCAGAGCTACCTCTTGGCTGCAGCTTGTCTGATAAATTCCTCTCCAATCTCAGTCTGTCAGATTAGCTGGACGATCATGTCTTTGCTAATTTGCAGTGGTGGATCCTCTTTCCATTTTCAGAGGGTTTAATATACAGGTGCTGGTCATAAAATTAGAATATCATGAAAAAGTAGATTGATTTCAGTAATTCCATTTAAAAAGTGAAACTTGTATATTATATTCATACATTACATACAAACTCATATATTTCAGATGTTTATTTTGTTTAATTTTGATGATTACAAATGACAACAAATGAAAATCTCAAATTCATCATATCAGAAAATTAGAATATTGTGAAAAGGTTCAAAATTGATGGCCCCTGGTGCCACACTCTAATCAGCTAATTAACTCAAACCACCTGCAAAAGCCTTTAAATGGTCTTTCAGTCTAGTTCTATAGGCTACACAATCATGGGGAAGACTGCTGACTTGACAGTTGTCCAAAAGACGACCATCGACACCTTGCACAAGGAGGGCAAGACACAAAAGGTCATCGCTAAAGAGGCTGGCTGTTCACAGAGCTCAGTGTCCAAGCACATTAATAGAGAGGCGAAGGGAAGGAAAAGATGTGGTCGAAAAAAGTGTACAAGCAAGAGAGATAACCGCACCCTGGAGAGGATTGTGAAACAAAACCCATTCAAAAATGTGGGGGAGATTCACAAAGAGTGGACTGCAGCTGGAGTGAGTGCTTCAAGAACCACCACACACAGACGTATGAAAGACATGGGTTTCTGCTGTCGCATTCCTTGTGTCAAGCCACTCTTGAACCACAGACAGCGTCAGAAGCGTCTTGCCTGGGCTAAAGAGAAACAGGACTGGACTGCTGGTGAGTGGTCCAAAGTCATGTTCTCTGATGAAATTAAATTTTGCATTTCCTTTGGAAATCAAGGTCCCAGAGTCTGGAGGAAAAGAAGAGAGGCACTTCATCCACGTTGCTTGAAGTCCAGTGTAAAGTTTCCACAGTCAGTGATGGTTTGGGGTGCCATGTCATCTGCTGGTGTTGGTCCATTGTGTTTTCTGAGGTCCAGGGTCAACGCAGCCACATACCAGGAAGTTTTAGAGCACTTCATGCTTCCTGCAGCTGACCAACTTTTTGGAGATGCAGATTTCATTTTCCAACAGGACTTGGCACCTGCACACAGTGCCAAAGCTACCAGTACCTGGTTGAAGGACCATGGTATCCCTGTTCTTAATTGGCCAGCAAACTCTCCTGACCTTAACCCCATAGAAAATCTATGGGGTATTGTGAAGAAGAAGATGCAATACACCAGACCCAACAATTCAGAAGAGCTAAAAGCCACTATTAGAGCAACCTGGGCTATCATAACACCTGAGCAGTGCCACAGACTGATCGACTCCATGCCACGCCGCATTGCTGCAGTAATACAGGCCAAAGGAGGCCCAACTAAATACTGAGTGCTGTACATGCTCATACTTTTCATGTTCATACTTTTCAGTTGGCCAACATTTCTATAAATCCTTTCATTTCTATAAGTCTTCAGTAATATTCTAATTTTCTGATATGATGAATTTGAGATTTTCATTTGTTGTCATTTGTAATCATCAAAATTAAACAAAATAAACATCTGAAATATATGAGTTTGTATGTAATGTATGAATATAATATACAAGTTTCACTTTTTAAATGGAATTACTGAAATCAATCTACTTTTTCATGATATTCTAATTTTATGACCAGCACCTGTAAGATTTTCAAAACTTGGGATATCCTTTTAAACTGTAACATTTCTTTAAACCTATCTATTCCTCTCTTCCTGACCTGCCTGTTGTGTTTTGTTTTGTTTTCTGTGTCTCTATGTTGCTATTTGTTCACTAATCTTCTGAAAAAAAAAACTTATTTCAGACTCCGGCCAAGTATTATTAATCCTAAATATGTGTGAAGACTAGATAATCTGGATTTTCCTTATATGAAATCAGCTAATCCCGCACTCTCTTCTTTGTATCCTTCCGAATAGTTGTTAGGTTCTATGTTTGTTTTATGTGTTTAACTTGATCTTTGGAAAACATTTTCATAACTAAAAAGTTAATTTTGCATTTTTGTTGTTGATTATATCTAATATAACCATTCACTGGAAATGAAGTGCCAGTAAATATATTTTGAACATCACTTTCCTCTCTAATTCCAACTAAACACTTCCCCAGGTTTCAATTTAAACATTTTAAAAATATCAGGATCTAAATACTTAAATGCAATTATATAGCTTAAAGCAGCTCGTTTTTTTCTTTTTTTTTTTTGCCATGTGGTTCACACTCCTTACCAGTTGGTGGCGGTGATGCTCACCTAACGTTTTTGCCAACCGCCTTAAAAAAATTCAAGAAGAAGAAGAAAAGCAGCACGGGGTTGATTCAAGGCGCATGTACTTAAATAACCATAACTTCCTGAATTGTCTAATTGTTTGGTTTGTTAAACAAAAGTCAGACATGTAGTTATGATACTGCACACTTATGAATAATTATAACCATGGTATTTCATACGAAAGAACATTGAATAGAACATACAGGTGCAATAAATATACACATGCACAAGGTATTTATGTTAAATCAATATATGCAAATAAAACTCAGTGTACTGAATGGCAACATGATATATAGATATATCTATATAGATATCTATATAGATATAGATACCTATATATATAAAAATGTGTGTATATATATATATATATATAAAAATATATATATATATATATATAAAAATATGTATATATATATAAATAAAATTATGTATATATATATATATAAATATGTATATATACATATTTATATATATTTTAATATGTGTATATATATACACTATATTGCCAAAAGTATTTGCTCACCCATCCAAATTATTGGAATCAGGTGTTCCAATCACTTCCATGGCCACAGGTGTATAAATTCAAGCACCTAGGCATGCAGACTGTTTTTACAAACATTTGTGAAAGAATGGGTCGCTCTCAGGAGCTCAGTGAATTCCAGCGTGGAACTGTGATAGGATGCCACCTGTGCAACAAATCCAGTCGTGAAATTTCCTCGCTCCTAAATATTCCACAGTCAACTGTCAGCTGTATTATAAGAAAATGGAAGTGTTTGGGAACGACAGCAACTCAGCCACGAAGTGGTAGGCCACGTAAACTGACGGAGCGGGGTCAGCGGATGCTGACGCGCATAGTGCGAAGAGGTCGCCAACTTTCTGCAGAGTCAATCACTACAGACCTCCAAACTTCATGTGGCCTTCAGATTAGCTCAAGAACAGTGCGCAGAGAGCTTCATGGAATGGGTTTCCATGGTCGAGCAGCTGCATCCAAGCCATACATCACCAAGTGCAATGCAAAGCGTCGGATGCGGTGGTGTAAAGCACGCCGCC